AGGCAGAGCCTTCAGCTTCCAGGCCCCTCTTCTGTAGAACAAGTCCCAGTTTAGACACCCTCTCTACTTTTAAGATTAGATTTAAAACTTTCCGTATTGATAAAGTTATAGTTATTCATAGTTTCAAAAACAGAACTTTCTGCCTCTCTTTGTATTAGCAGAAATGATTGAACTTCAGTATTATGGCGTTATTATGACGTCCCACTTAACTACCATGTAATTGCCAGGTAATAGTTCGATATTCCTTCATTTTCAAATGTAAATTTTGAAGAAATAGGGAGTTTTGCATTACTCTATCATTATTACTGCAACGTCCAAAAAGCCTGCCTCAACAGCTGGTGATTGGACTGCCAGGGCTTCCGCCCAACACACACTGCACCCGACCTCTATGGTGCCTCCTGAAGGTGGTGAGCCACATGGCATAGATAAAGGAAACAGTACAGATATGATAAACACATAAAGAGCTTTAAAGAGTTTTCCTATATAAAAGATAATGGGGTCAAAGAGTTTTTCTGGTTAAATAAAGGAATAAAAAGGTTAAAGAACATTGGTGGGAAATGCCAAGAGGAAAACTAAAAGAGATACGAAGAGCTCTATTATTGGCATGTTGAAAGGAAACACTGCTCTTCTACTTGTGAAAACTCCACATTTCGCGTGTAATTTAATGCAAAAAGAAAAAAAAAACTCAGTATGACAGTTAAGAAGCTCAAATTTGCTGTATTCACATCATACATTTAAAACAGCTGTTTCCATTTTAATCAAATGATGTATCTGAAGCAAAGAAAACTGGTGTCACTTCTGGTAAAGGTTTCTTACATAGAAAACTCAAATTATGACTAAAAACACAGCACTTACTGCTCATCTACACTCACATCCTGCCTGTAATTTGGTGCATTGGGTATTTATACAGTACAGATCAGATCAGATCGGGGTCCTGCATGCTGCTCCTGGCTCTGGCTTACAGACGCAAAACAAAGTTATCTTAAAATCCACCCACACTGGTGAGAACCAGTGTGCTGACGACTTCGGCACCAGTTACTGTGTTTCTGCACGCACAGATGGGACCAAAACACAAAGACAAGGTGGGAAAGAACAACAAAATGTGTGAGAGTAACCTAGAGAGCAGATCCTGAGAGGGAGAAAAATAAACAGTTGGTGGGGTTTTCCCCTCCCCCTTCAGTTGATAAAGGTCATTTTAGGCAAAAATGGTCTCCTCGCGTCTCTTCTTGGTCAGGATGGTTCCAGGTTTATGCTGAGCATCTGGATGGTTAGCCAGCTCTGGAGGGCAGGTGGAGACGGGACTCTCGAGGATGGCCTGCTTCAGGTCGTAAAACACCGCCGAGTCCTCTTTAGTGAGGAAAGTCATGGCTACACCACTCTTACCAGCACGACCCGTACGACCGATACGATGGATGTAGTCTGCAGGAGGAGAAAGGGCAACAATGATTCAGTGAATCATTTAGCGATTCCTATGGCAAAAATTTAATTTCAGTCAATAAACAAACACTGCACACCAGATGAGGCCTCTTACCTTCGATGTTCTTTGCCATGTCGTAGTTAATAACCATGGAGACGTCTTGGATATCGATACCTCGCCCAGCAACGTCTGTGGCCACCAGGATATCTTTGGCTCCCGCCTTGAGATTGGAAAGTGCAAACTCTCTCTGCTCCTGGCCTTTGCCACCGTGCAGCGTGCAAGCATTGTACTACAAAGAAGAAGAGAAGGAGGAACAGTGGAGGTTAATCTTTGCTCAAAATATTTAGTATTTTAGGAAATCAGAAACCAAAGTGAATTAAAATTAAACCTCCATCTGAGATTTATTGGCTTTCTTGTGTATTTTGGATAAAACTTCCGACAACAAACGGTGAAACTCAGCATTATGTCAGGATGCAACACTAGCACTGAACACCAAGTACAGCTGAGGCTAATACTGTGCATTAAAAAGCTGTTGTTGCCTTTTAATGTATCTGGTTTTCCCAATTTTCATAACTTCTTCTTTATACTAAAACTGTGGGTTTTTTGAGTGATTAATATAATTTTAGTGCAACAAGACAATTTGATCTGCTAGTAGGAAAACAAAAACTTCTAGGAATATTTCTCTTGTGACCTTAAATGTATCTGAGCATAATTTTAAGGCAATCAATCAAATATTTGTTGATATTTCATAGAAAATGTCCCCAGAAATTTCTACATGCTGGCACAAACATTAAATGTCATTTATCTGTTTATCCATTAATTGATTTGGTGTATTATGAGTGGCAATGCTTCAGGTCTTTATCTGTAGGAAAAGTCCAAAATGCTGTCTTTCACATATTTCCAAAATCATCCAGTGAGCTGGACTGGAGTCTTTCTCAGGCCTATTCTGGTCCCCGGGCCTTATATTTGACACCCCTGACATGATTATTACTTTTTTTTACTCCAAAGCATGAAGCTTCTACCAAATCTCGACCCTAAATTGAGATCCATTGTGGTTCAGGTTACAGTGACTTACCCCCATCTTCTCCAGTGACTTGGCCAGCACGTCGCAACCCTTCTTCTGGTTGACAAAGATGATAATCGGAGGCTCGAAGCCGTGCGACAAAACCTCCAGCAGCTTCTTCCTGCAAAGGGCACATTATACAAAACATTTAGAATCTTGATACAAGTGAAATTTTTGCTATTTAAGATTAATGCTTGCATCCGTCTCACCTCTTCTCTCCCTCCGACATAAGCAGGACCTTCTGTTCGACTCTCTCGTGAGGCTTTCCAGCAGACCCGATGTACACCACAGCAGGACGTCTCAGGTAGCTCCTGGCCAGTCTCTCCACAGCGGGAGGCATGGTAGCTGTGAACATGACCGTCTTTACGGTGCAATCAGACACACAGTCAGTGAAAACACTCAACAGATAATCATGTGGTGCCTTTAGAAGATTCCAACTGCTAAAGAAAGACCTACTTGTCTGTATTTATGTTTCCCGGATTCAAAGTTCATCGTCATTTTCTCAGGGTCCTCCGCCTCTTCGGTGTCTGGCTTCTGATTGGTCACTGGGATGTACTCCAAAATCTTTTGGACGTCGGGCTCGAAGCCCATGTCAATCATACGATCGGCCTCATCGAGGACCACATAGGTGCAGCGGCTCAGTACCAGGTAGCGGTTCTCCAACACGTCAATCAGACGCCCGGGCGTGGCAATAACGATCTGTTAGACGATGTAAACAAATATGACGCAGGTGAACAGATGATTTTCAAGTAGAATCCTCACCTTATGGATAAAAAGCCAGGATG